TATATGGAGAGAGGGAATGAAAAAATTTTCATAATAAATGGTAACAAAAGAAGGGAATAAATATTTCTATAATTGTTCACTTAATACATTTTTACCAATTGGTTTTGTATCCTTTGTGTTCCTTGTCAAATTAGATGGGGAACAACTTTGTTCTATGTTCTCTCTTACTGCAAAGAATGAAGAGAAACTACATGAAATCTTTATTACATATTTAAAAAAGATTAGGAATAAATGGAAATGTGATATTTCTCCTCATTCTTTTAATTCTTTATGGTCACCATTTTAGTAATTCAAGGTTCTAACTCTCAATGAGGGACATCTATTTCAAAAACTGATTACCAAATAATGGTATGGAAACAAGGTGATCTTTTCTTTAAGAAGTCGTCATCTCAACAAAGAAGTATGGAAACAAGATGATTTTTTCTTTAGAAAGAAAGTTCTAACTCCACTCTTTTTAGGGATCCTCGTACTTTTCTCCTTTTTTCCTCTAAAAAAAATCAAACGGCGGTCGTTTATTCTTTTGTGTTAATCTAAGACCATCTCCAATGTATTTCTCTATTTTTTCCTCTAAAATAGAGTAAAAAATAGCAATCCTCAATTTTCACTCCATTGTATTCCTATTTTAGAGGAATTGCTACTTTTGACTCTATTTTAGGGGAAAATATAGCATTCTCTACATTTTCCTCCAAATATAGAGAAACAAATATCAATATCTATTTTAGAGATGAAATAGAAGTGAGTTGGAGAGAAAATAGAAGATTGCTATTTTTTTTCTCTATTTTTAGAGGAAGAAATAGAGGTGGGTTGGAGATGCTCTAACTTAACGTCAGAGAATTTACGGAGAAAAAAAATCTATCTCATCTGCCCAAAAATCTTTTGATGATGTGATTTGTGTAGTAATTAATATGTCTCCCGAAAGTTATCATGCATCTCTTCTGCAGAAGAAATGTCTTTTTTTTTTTCATCTGAAACTTTTTACATTACAATCCTCGGGATGGGATTCGTTGGTGAAATACAGGGGTAGGATACTAAGACTGATTGTCAACGATTACGACATCGGCAACAGGAGGGCGAACAAAGCCCGAATCCAGGAGAATCTTAAAGACTAAAGCATAGAAATACACAAACAAAAATAAACTACTCCCCTTCGAACAAATCGATAAATTAGAGAAATAGCCTAAGACCATGAGTTAAGATTGAAGCAAATCCTTAATTTTAAAAACAACACAAATCTAGGCCTAGAAAAATCACCTACACGAATAACTATCGAAACTCCTCATTGCCATGATAAAAACACGGGTCCGACGCTACCTATCCCTCTTATACCTGCTCCGGCGAAGCCGAGCCATCCGAGGCGGCACATACGAACAGACCCCGGGACTAAACCGAATCCCTTGAGAAGATTGGAAGGGTGGATTAATCTATGGTGGTGGAGACCTCCAAGACCAAAGCAGAGAGTGAACCCTTTAAGAAATCTGCCTTTGTCGATAAGAGTCGACCAGATCTGATACAACAACTGAATAACAAGCACGCAAAGGAGCAAACTACTCATGATTAAGGAACAAAAGAAGTTTCAAACTTAACCCACAAACCCTAAACCAAAACCGGCAAAAGAACCAGATCTGCATCGAAGAAGGGTAGAAACCCAGACTAAACCGTTAAAAACCACCGTAAACTTCATCGCCTTACCGATCTGTTCTCGTCCTCTACGGATTCGCCGGATTTCTCTGACAAAATCAGATAGAGAGAACACGTCGACAAAGGAAAATAAAGCCAAAACCACGGTAGATTTGAAAGCAAGAGAAGTGAAAACAAAATCAAAGCAAAGGAAAACATCACAGCTCCGGCGCTAGAGGAGCCGCCAGAGCTGCAGATCGGAAAATCGAGTTGAGATCTAGAGAGAAGGGAAAGCGTTTTTTACTTTCTCTCTCTCTCGATCGGTGAAATATGTTTACATCAAATAGTGCTGAAGAAATGTCTTTCATCCCTATAATCTATTAAAAACATATTTAATCCAATAATAAGTTTTAAATTAGAAAAAAAAAGAAATTTTTTGATCTCCACAATTTTGTAACTTTATATCTTTTTAATGTCGATAGAAAATTCAATTTTCCCCAACAAACATGTGGGAACTAAAGAACATAAAGTTGCACAATTTCATAAC